CCCGTCCTGCGGGCGCTCCGGTAGGCACTCCCGTAGCACAGCCCTGCTCGGCGGGATTGCCTATGCCCGTCCTGCGGGCGCTCCGGTAGGCACTCACGTAGCACAGCCCTGCTCGGCGGGATTGCCTATGACCGTCCTGCAGGCGCTCGAGCCGAAGCCCTCGCAGCTGGTTTGTTCTCCCTGCCCACCCCGCACCGCCGCCCCGCACCGCCCGGACGGCTCTCTCCAGGGCGCAGAGTCGCGGCGCGGCCGGTCGGGTGGTGAGTTTGCAAGGTCTGTTTGGCTTACTGCAGCCGGTGGTTGTGTCGAAGCGGCGGCCCCTGCTGGCCGGAGCTGCAAGTCAGCACTTTTACCTCCAAGACGACGAGGCGGCCGCGGCTCGCCACGCTCGTGCCGCGGCCAGGCCATCGCAGCTGCATTATCGTTCTCTCTCTCGGGGCGGTTAGGCGGTCGCGGGCCTGCGCCGGCGGCGTGCTAATCTGTCGCGGGGCCCGGAGTGACGACCACCGAATGGCGACTTCGGTGAGCAACAGGCAAAATGGGGGGGGGGGGGGGGGTAATGCTCTGCGGGGCAAACGGCGGAGGCGGTGGCTCAATGCATATTGCATGAGTGTGGGCGAGGAGAGGAGCAGGAGCACGTGCACCTCCACGACGTCCCGCCGCCCGCGGCCCCGCGTCACGGAGGCACCTTGACGTCAACCCGCGGCTACGCACGGCCGGAACGTCAAAGCGCCTCGGTTATCATCAGCTGGTGGTTTCTACCTTTGTTTTTATTAGACGGAGGGTAGACAGATTGTGTATCTGTTTTTGTTGATGTGGGGCTGTCGCTGTGAAAGATTTCCATGCACGCCTGAAGTAGAGCAAGGCGATGACGACCGACTTGGGGTGTCCCTAATGTGCAGTGCAGTGTGTAGTACCGCCCCCATTTTCGCGTCAACGTGTGAGCTGATTTGCGACGTCGTGCCCCTTTTCTGACCACCGCCTATGTTTTCTTGCACACAGGAGAGCCGTCTCATGGACTGCAACGGCAACCCGCAGCCCGACGAGGAGAAGCGCTGCCCCAGCCCCGACAGCCCCGACAGCGAGCCGGCCACCCCCGCGCGCTGCGGGCCCTACTGCGACGGCAAGGGCCGCCCGCTCCTGCTCTCCTTCCGCGATGCGCCGCCCTACCTGCAGTTCAACCCCTTCATCGAGTCCGGCTACCGGGGCTACCTGTCCACCAAGATGTGCATCGAGAGGTGAGCACGCCACTTTGTCTCTGTCTCTGTCTCTGTCTCTGTCTCTGCCTAAGTCTGAGTCCCTGTCTTTGTCTCTGCCTCTGCCTGCTTGACGTGACAAACCTTTTGTTGCAGCATATTCTGGTGGACTAACGAGACCATCAACATCTGGAGCCACATCTTCGGCTGGATGCTGTTCCTGGGGCTCACGCTCTACGACATGCTGCTGCTCAACATCCACGCCTCCACCATCGACAAGGTGATCGTGGGCGGGCTGCTCGTCTGCTTCCAGGCGTGCATGATCCTCTCCTCGCTGTACCACACCTTCTCCTGCAAGTCGGAGCAGGTCTACGACTGCTTCCTCACCTACGACCTGTTCGGCATCTCCCTCAGCCTGCTCGCCATCTACATGTCCGGCATCTACTACGCCTTCTGGTGCCACAGGGTGAGTGTCCCACCGAGCACGGAGAAAAAAAACAAGGGGTACTTCACAAAGAAAATCAACGTGCACCCTAAATTATTTTAGAAAAAAAATCAGAAGAAGGCAGAAAAAAATCAGACAACGTCAGGAAAAATCAGAAAACGTCAGGAAAAATCAGAAAACGTCAGGAAAAATCAGGAAAAATCAGTAAACGTCAGGAAAAATCAGAAAACGTCAGGAAAAATCAATAAAATATCAATTCAAAAATAAGTTTTTTCATAATTCAAGAAAAACAGAAATATCGGTGTGCGTTTGAACCAATAGTGAAGTACCCCGAGCTCTCCTCCACCGACGCGCACTACAGCAGTTGACGTTTGACCCGCAGACCTGGCAGACGTTCTACCTGACCTCGGTCGGGCTCATCTTCGGCCTGGCGATGATGCTGCACGTACCGCGCATCGGCGCCTCCTCCAACATGAAGCTCTTCACGTTCGTGGGCTGGGCGGCGTACGGCGTGGTGCCCACCTTCCACTGGACCATCGTCATGGGCGGCATGGACAACCCCATGGTCCAGGTGAGCCTTGCGTAGGGTTGGCGACTTGCACAGAGCGCATTGTGGCGCCAAAATCGACATCAGAATTTCAGGGCAGGGCCGCATTTTTTATCGATCTTGACACGAATAATATGCTAATTTTCTAAGGCCGTTCAATGGCAATATTTCTTTAAAAATCTGACGATGAACTAAACTCATTTACAAAGATGACGGACTAACAAAAAGTCAGAAAGTAGCAGATAAAATTGTTCGTCTCGACGTCGCACAATCTGAATCTGCACAGGCCGTTGGTCCGCCCGGGCCCAGCCCGCTCCAGGATGAAGGTGCTTGTCGCGGAGAAAGTCGTCGAGGAGAAGGGCTTGCTTTGCTTTGTGACTTGCCTCGTCATGTCGCCTCGCGGCGCGCCTCCCGGCTCCTCGGCCCCTGCCCCCGCAGCTCCCCACAGCCCC